ACGTTTTGGATCCAGCTTTTATTACATCACAATCAATTGAAAGAAAAATAACATAATGTCATTTTGATTAAGGGACATACCTATTATATTAAATACTTTCTCAAGTCAGCACATAGTACTCATTTTGTGAGTGTGTGGACGCAAGTTTTTGTATTTGTGACTGCATTATGCCCCCTCTTATTCAATCTCAACTGGTTAAAACTCCACTTAATTAAAAAAAAAAATTGTATTATTGAATTGGAAACGTCACTAAATAAATAATATATATATATATATATATGATGTCAAGTTTATGGAGTTGAAAAATGCAATTGGATAGATCAACTGAATCATGTTCAATTAATTTGGTAGTGTCAATTTATTGGTAATATTAAAGTTTGAAATCCACTCCATATGATTATCAGATTTAATGTATATTTATAGCCATAGTATTGTCAATGTCAGCTTGATACAATTTTTATGAAATTTATAAATTATCTTATACCAATTAAAATTACTAATTTGGCATCATGAATAACACATTTCCCATATGTTTTTGTTAACAATCAAGTCATTTAAGTGAGAAACGAAATAACTTAATTAACAAAGGACTTTACCTTTTATTTAAGTTAGAAAAATCAAAATAGGTTTGAACCAAAGGTTAAAAATTCAATTAGATTTTGCGGAAGTATCGGGAGAAAGTTGGTGGGGAAGAGTGATGTACCAACATCACAAAGGACATTGAAAGAGTGGTTACACTTTATATGGATATTTAGGTCAAGTTTGGTAATTTTTAAAAAATTTAAAAAGTCAGAAAGTCATTGTCTTATTTAACTCACATCATCTTATTTAAGTCACATCACTTCAAACTCAATCCAAATCCAACCCATATTTCATAAAAAGTCAAAAAGTGCACTTATTTAGTCTTCCCAAACTTGGTCTTAAAGAGTGGTTACACTTTATATAATTAAAATATGAAAAATGTTTGAGGGTCATAATTTTTGTGGCCATAATGGTTTAAAATTACCAAAACGACGTCGTTTTGGCATATTTTGCACCCAAAACGACGTCGTTTTGACAGTTTTGAACCATTGTGACCACAAAAATTGTGACCCTCTAGCATTGTTGTTAAAATATTTTTAATTCATTTTCAATTGGGTCAATAATTAAATACTATTATGGGTGTGTACCATAAGTAAGTTATTACGTTTTAAATTTTGAATATCATAAATGTTATAATTCAATTCTATAATATGAGAATGATAACTATTAAAAAAAAAAAAAAGTTATAACTAAACAACACATAAAGTGTAACCAAAGAATTCTTAAGTCATATTCAAAATAATGTCATAACCAATATCACAATAAATCATAACTAAAAAAATAATATGTCATAATAAAATACTACAAAAATCAAAACTAAAAATAGATATGATACACAACCTAAAGTGTACCATAGAATTTCCCCAAGTAACTAATTGAGTCTTCAATTTTACTACATTTCAAGAAGTTGAGTTTGCTGTAAATTTGTGACCATCCCCGTTTGGGAATTTAGATTTATAGTCAAGAAGTCATTATAAATTATTATATTAATTTCTCTATTTTTTATTTTTTATTTTTTTGCAAAAGATTTAAAAATAAATTCAAATAGTCAATTTTTAAACAAAGTATGTATATTATTAAACATTTTCAAATAAAAATAATGTCAAATTTAGTGTAATTCATGATGTAACAATGAATCATCTTGTACCTATTGATCCAAAAAGAAATTCACTCTCAATATGGGACAGAGCTTATTGAGGATGAGATTCAACGTGAGTCCAAAGGTTTGCTTATTTGGTGTTTTTTTTTTAGTGAACTTTGTTTTTAAAAAAATTAAAAAAAAAATTTAAGTTTCGAGATTCGAGACTAAATTGAAATTTTTTTATAAAAAAAAAAGCCCAGAAAAGATAAAAATAAGTAAAAAATAATGATTTTTTTTTTCTTTTTTTGTGTGCTTATTTTGGCTATTTAATTTTTTTAAAAAAATTTAAAAAAAAAATACTATTTAGATTCATCTATACAAGAGGGACTGAAAAAAGTAAAAAAAATTTAGCATAATTTTTTAAAAAGTCGCTAAAGAAAAAAAATTTCAAAAAAAGAAATAACTTTTTTAAGTGTTTCCAAACATCCAAAAGAAATAACTTTTTTAAGTGTTTCCAAACATCCCCTTGAATACCTTGCACCAAACAACTCTATACCCTAAATTATATATTAATTGATAATAAAAAAAAAATGAAATAATTACAACAATTACTTATAGCAAAAATTTCGATCCCAAACTTTTGTAAAAGTTTCGATCTCAAAGCAGAGCCGGCCACAACTCTTTGAGTTTTTTTTTCAAAGGTACGTGCCCATGGTGTTGAGAGAGTTTGTGGTGAACGAATGATGTAAATAAAAGGCCTGGTGGTGTATATTCATGGGCTTTTCTTGGTTGATTTGGGATGTTGATTAATTTTTTGATTTTTTAATTATTTTAGTCTATAGTTAAAAAGTCTTGTTTGGGATGAATTTTTTATTTTTTTTTTACTTTTATAAAAAAAAATTAAATATGATATTTTATCTTATTAGCTTTTTTATTTATTTTTATTTTTTATTACTATTTTAACCTAAAACATCCGAAGACATTATGCCCAAGGAGTGCTCTATGGTATTGGTTGATCTTATGCCATGTTACTTTTTGTAGTTTGGGCTGGGTTCATCTTTTTGGTCCAGCCCATGGGCTTCTCTAATCTTATTTCCTAATAGGTACCTTTTTATTTGTTTTTGAAAAGTAACAAGGAGATTTCTCCGCAGTCCATCTACTACTAAAGTTATTTCTTTCTGATATCCGGGTGTTGGGATCAATTTATATATATTTCGATTAATTTTAGAGTTCTAACGATCGAACAAATCTCCAGTGAATCAAAGTATTGGGATATTTGACCTTCATAAAATTCAACCTTGCGACCTTTTGAGTGATAAGTCCTTTTATTACTTCTCCTCCTACTAAATCAAACCCCTTGAGGTTTTATATTAAAGCTACTTAACCCTGAGGGTTGCCTCAAGTGGTTGGTGAGTATGCTCTCTATACAATTGTTCATCGATTTTAAAAGTTAGGCTATGAAAAAATAATTTTTTGTGAATTTTTTAATCTCTTTGTGGATGGCCTACTTTTGATCGGATCGGTGAGGGAATTAGTCAAAATGCATGTAAATTGGTCCAAACATTCTTGACTATTGAACCACAAAATAAATAAATAAATAAATAAATAAATAAGTTATTTCAATCAATGTTATACTTTAGCATATTATAATGTAAAAATACCGCATTTTAAGAGTCTCGCTTCAATAATATGTATATTATTTTTTCAATATAATTTAAAAATTATTATATAATATAATTGTGTGTATCTAATTATATGTATTAACAGTGTCTTTAAATTAAAATTTTAATTAAAAATCGTAATTCAATAATTAATATCTTAAAAAACTTCAATTCGTTAGATTAATTCAAACTTTCATTAAATAAATAAAAAAATTTCTCTATCCCTATAGTTATTGCAATGTTTCTCATTAGGGGCAATACTATACCCTGCATTGGTGGACAATGAAGACTCAAGACAAAATGAGTGGTTGAAAACAATTTTAAAAATGAATAAAGTATCCGCCCAAAATTATGTAAAGAGTAATGAATGAAACAGTCCCACAAAATTGAACTGGGATGGGTATTGACAAATCTTTCTGCTACAAATTATTTACTTATTTTCACTTACTGACTATTTAAGCTGATTTAAATAAATATAATTTTTGACTTTTATGAAAAATATATCCAAAAAAAAAATTAAAAAAATAATATAACACAAAAATTATAAAAAAGATTGAAAAAAAAACACTTTTATAATACACTCCAAACACTCTCTTACTGACACTAATTATCTCTTTATTGTAAATCAAGTCAATCCTATTTTAAATTCAAAGATTCTCCCTAAATGTCACTATTTATTGATAAATAAAATAGATTTATACAATTTGTTTTATATCCCTTATTTTTCTCACCATATCATTTTTCATATATATATATATATATATATAAGTTATCACTATTCACCAAAAGTCAAAAATTACGGCTGCACAACTCTCAATCCTAATTTTCTCCTACACACTAATTCATACAATTTTTTAATACACATTTTTTCATAAAAAGTCAAAAAATTAACCCAAATAATCATATTTTTTTCCTTAACTTTTTAATCAAAAAAGTCAAAAAGTGTATTTATTTAGCACATCCCAAACAACCCCTAATTATCTCTTTCTTGTAAATCAAGTCAATCCTATTTTAAATTAAAGATTCTCCCTAAATGTCACTATTTATTGAGAAATAAAATAGATTTATACAATTTGTTTTATATCCCTTATTGATGTAATAGGTAGCATCATATTCGCATCGTGATGTTTGATTGTTGGATCAGTTATGTGAGATTATTATAAGTACATTGGGATTAAATGATTAGGTTCTTAGTATATTAGTATTAGATTGAAGATAAAATAAATTACATTTATTTGTGCACTATCTAATTATATGACCCAATATAGCGTAAAAGTCAATGGACAATGGGTTGGTTTGGAAAGTGGGTTGGCTTTTTGACTATTTTAGTATGAGATTAAAAAGTTTAATTTGAAATTTTTTTTTAATTTTTTTTAACTTTTTTGATTTTTTTGTGAAAGAAAGAATGTAATGATTATAAATTTAATGTGATATTTTATCTTATTAGACTAAAAAGCGTATTTTATTTTTTTGTGACTATTTTCTCAAACAAAGCCTTTTAACTCTTTTTTCCTTGATTTGATACAGGCAAGTAAAATAATATTATACTATTCCTTAAATAATTTTTTTTAAAAATAAATAAATAAATAAAAGAGAGAAAAAAAAGAAAAACATGAGTGGTGGCTATGGGATCCCATAGATTGTCTGACCACAATGACTCAAAAAATTTGTAAAACTCCAATTCTCTTCTCATATCCACACACCTCTGTTTCTCATACAGAGAGAGTGAGGAGAGAGAGAGAAGGGGGACAATGTTGGTTGGGTGGAAGTGGGAAGAAGATTAGTGGAGAGTAGGAGGATGAGTTTGCTATGCATTCCATGGCCTGTCATTCTGCTCCTTATTATGCTTTTTCTCCATCACCACACACAGGTTGTTCTTCCATTTCCAACAAAAACAGCACAAAAACACTTAAATCTTCAAAGCCATCCCCACCTCTTCTACTTTCTTCACTCAGTACCAACCCCTCCTACAATACCTTTGTATTCCAGGTTCTTTCTCTCTCTTTAAAGTAATGGCATTATTCCATTTTCAAGTATTCTATATATCCTAATGCTTCTTATTAGACTATTACTGAAAGTAATTATTCATATATTCTTCTGATAAAAGAATAAAGTTTTAGGCTGCCAATTGGTCTATTGAAATATCATTCATATCAAGAATTTCAATTGGATCTGATTAATTTGGGGTTCTAACTTCAATGGTAAAATTAGAGAAATCTCAGTCGTCTGTTTAAAATTGAAAGGTTTAGATTGTGCCAACTTGAAAAATAACTAACCACCTATTAACATTTTTTTTTTCTCGTGAGAAAATGAAAATACTTTCCCCTCTTCAATCTAGGCCTTCCATTTTCAACTGACGATTAAGATTTCTCTAACTTTACCACTAAAGTTGGAATCCTAATTTCAGAAAGAAAATCTGAAAAAAAAATAAAAATAAATAATACTGAGCTACTTAGTAGAGCATAACCATTCTTTTTTCTTTTTTTTTAAACTTGAATTCTCACCCATCCAACAGACAATTTTTTTCGCTTCTTTAAGCAATGCAGGTGCGAATACCTGTAATTGTTGACTGATTTGTGCTGCCGATTCATTTTGTTTACATCAGTTGCAAATTATGCACTGCCTGATAAAGAGCTCAAATTGTTAGATAACACAAATGTTAATCCTAAAAAATCATGCAATTGGTGTTTGCTAACTCCCAAATTGGGTGGTTTCTTTTATGCATAATTACTGCTAGGCTGCAAGGCTTTTGGGTCCTCCAGCAAGGTTTGAAGCTTCGAAGCTGAAAGTTGTATTGATGGAAAAAGAGACTGATAATTACAAAGAAATCGTGCCACGGACCTACACCCTCTCCCACTGTGACCTAACAGCTAACCTAACCTTAACCATCTCAAATGTTATCAAACTTGATCAGGTATAGCTTCCTAATTATTATTTGTTTTCCAAAGTTTTGATAATGATTGTTAGTGTTATTAGTGTAATATTAATGTAATACAGCTGCACTATCTAGCTGGCCCACTCATGTTGTTGTATAACTAACGTTGTATCTTTATGCATTCGGTGGGTTAGCATCCAATGTACCCTATTTACTCTCTATAAATGAGAGTGTTGTAAATCACTGAAATATATCTATCAATACACAATTGAATTCTCTCTCTCAATTTATCTTACATGGTATTAGAGCTCGGTTCTTAACTTAGTAATTCTGCTTCACCGGCGGGCGGCAACCTCACCTTGGCCGCCCGCTGGACCTCTACACATATCTTCACTCCGCTGCCACAAATTATTCTTCTTGATCTTGATCTTCTTGTTGCTGCTGCTGCTGCAGTAGTTTCTAACAAATTCCATCTTGGTCACCTCCACTCCACTCTTCTTCACCACCTCGCCGGAGCAAACCCAAAATCCCTCTGGGACATTTCATCGAACACCATGTCTGCAACTCAACTCTCTTACTCTCTCTCTCCGAAAGGAAGCTGTTTCTCTCTCTCTGCTCTACGCAGATCACTGATGGCAACAACTCTCTCTATCACTGATGAGACACAGAGGACACACACAAGGGCATGCATGTTTCTCCCTCTCGGCACCTCTCTCTCTCCTATCACACGCATAGATCTTACCGACGTCGTCGAGCACCCCGTCGGCCCACCCGACAGCCAACTGGAGTTCCATTTTGTACGTGTGACCATCTAGCTCGCGCGGCTTGCTTCGCGTTCTTCACCTGCAACGTCCCCCCTGTCTTCAGCCGTGATCTGGCCAACGCCGACCACGCCACCTGTCACCACTGCTGCAAACTCTTTCTGAGATAAGAGATATATATTTTGTGTGAGCCAGCTCCAACCTTGGAAGTCAATCAAAAAACTGGGTCATTCCCTAGTTTACTTTGCTGCTATTGCTCCCTCCATTCAGAGGCTGAATTTCAGCATAAGGATTCAATGTCACCCAGTTTATCATCCTTCGAATCTGAGACGTCTTCCCTCCAGATGGGGATGGCACTGCCTCAATACGGGAAAGGGTATAGCAGTCATAAAGGTTTTCACTTTTATTTCCAATCTCAATTGGCTCCATCTCCCAGTCTGTCATAATTGTTTCAGGAAGCACATGGGCTCCTTTGGATAGTTGCTATTTTAAAATCAAAGTAGGTGGGTTTAATGATGCTGTCCATGCCTTGGATAGTGGGCTACATGGGTATTCTTCTCCCACGTTAGAGAAAAAGCTTTGCTATGGTGTTGCCTATTGCACCCCCACTCACAGCACGCCCCTCAACTTGTCTTCCTTGTGTGAGCCGGCTCCAACCTTGGAAGTCAATCAAAAAACTGGGTCATCCCCTAGTTTACTTTGCTGCTATTGCTCCTTCCATTCAGAGGCTGAATTTTAGCATAAGGATTCAATGTCACCCAGTTTATCATTCTTCGAATCTGAGACGTCTTCCCTCTAGATGGGGATGGCACTACCTCAATATGGGAAAGGGTATAGCAGTCATAAAGGTTTTCACTTTTATTTCCAATCTCAATTGGCTCTATCTCAGCTGTTATGGGTGAAAATACTGCTCCCAGTCTGTCATAATTGTTTCAAGAAGCACGTGGGCTCCTTTAGCTACTGCTGCAAGCACTTGGGATAGTTGCTATTTTAAAATCAAGTAAGTGGGTTTATTTATCATGATGGGGCCATCAGAAGTTTTTTAGTGGAGATTATATATATGTTATATGAAGCATATCTGAACATCGTTGGTCTTCAAGTGGGAATTGGAGGGATTTTAAACCTGGTAATGGAAAAGTGGGTTTGCCCCACGTCTTTGGTTGATAAGTGTGAGATAATGATGCTGTCCATGCCTTGGATAGTGGGCTACATGGGTATTTTTCTTCCACGTGAGAGAAAAAGCTTTGCTATGGTGTTGCGTTGCACCGCCACTCACAGCACGCCCTTCAACTTGTCTTCCTAAAACAAATATATCTTTATAACCCATACCCAGTCAACTTTTGTACAAATCATACTGTTTCTACTACCTCTTTTATTTTATTTTTATTTATCACCTTATTCATCATTTCATCACCATCACCATATTTTATTCGATTTCCTTTCATAACATACCAATGCAAAATTCTTGAACTGCCGCGATATATATTTACATTACCATTACAGTCTTTTTTTTTTTTTTTCATTAAATTCCACACCAACTCACTGATTTTTCTGCTCCAACAACCTTGTACCATTCTTGCCATCCAGCTTGCACAACATCTTCACTTTGTGTTGAGCTATTTTGCTCCACTTTATCAATCCCTTTGTTTCAACCTCAAATAGGTTTCTATCTTCACACCTATTTGAGTTTGAGGGGGGGTTATATATATATCATGGTGAGCATGGTTACACACCATGCGAACCACTCAAGCTGATAAGCATGGTTATATACCATGGGAACCACCCAAGCCATTCCATGGCACACTCCCTAAGTCGCCTCCTTTGTGCACCACCAAAATGTTCTACATCGGTTCGGCATGACCCCGTAAACTGTCCCGACATTGATTTCGGTTAGCTTCTACATCGGTTCGGCATGACCCCGTAAACTGTCCCGACATTGATTCCGGTTAGCTTCTACATCAGTTTGGCATGACCCCGTAAACTGTCCCGACATTGATTCCGGTTAGCTTCTACAACGGTCCGACATGACCCCGTAAACTGTCCCGACATTGATTTCAGTTAACTTCTACATCGGTCCGGCATGACCTCACAAACTGTCCCGACAATGATTCCGGTTAGCTTCTACATCAGTCTGGCATGACCTCGTAAACTGTCCCGACATTAATTCCGGTTAGCTGCTACAACGGTCTGACACGACCATACAGTGTCTTCACCAACGGTCTAACACGACCATACAGTGTCTCATATCCTATTTTATTTTGTTACTCTCTCCAAACTCAAGTTGGTTAATGTTTATCCTCCTTGAGTTTGAGGGGGGCTGTTAGTGTTATTAGTGTAATATTAATGTAATACAGTTGCACTATCTAGCGGTCCCACTCATGTTGTTGTATAACTAATGTTGTATCTTCATGCTTTTGGTGGGTTAGCATCCAATGTACCCTATTTACTCTCTATAAATGAGAGTGTTGTAAATCACTGAAATATATCTATCAATACACAATTGTTTCTCTCTCTCTTTTCTTTATACATAAAACTAACATGGTATCAGAGCGAGGTTAAGAACTTAGTAATTCCGCTTCACCGACGGGCGGCAGCCTCGCCTTGGCCACAATGATGATGTTTTTGAAACTTCCATTAATTGATATTAAATGTTTGCATTACCTGTGTGTGTTCTGTGGCAGTTGAAAGGCTGGTACAGCAAAGATGATGTCGTTGCTGAGTGGAAGGAAGTGAAAGGGGATACATATTTAGACGTCCATTGTTATGTGAGCGGGCCTAATCTCTTACTAGACCCTGCTGCAGAGTTTAGATACCACATATTCTCAAAGGAGTTGCCATTGGTAAGTTCAACTAGGCAACACCGATACCTCATCCATGTAGAAAGCGCTTAACACGTCCAAAGAAACAAATGATAGAAATTTGACAGGTTTTGCATAACTAGCTCTTATCGATGGTGTGATTATTGTGCAGAATTTCCTTTTATCAGCAATTCAATGAGTTGGAATGCAGAGTTTTAGACATCATGGGGGTTTTAATTTTTAACTGAATAGATTATTGAGTTGGGATGGATGACTTAGAGCTCATGAACTCCTTTGTCATGGCATGGCAGGTTCTTAAGGCTGTGATGCATGGAGATTCTCTGCTTTTCACTGAGCATCAAGAATTATTAGATGCATTTGTTCGAGTTTACTTCCATTCCAGTTTGAAGAAATACAACCGCGTGGAATGTTGGGGCCCACTTAAGGATGCTGCACAGGTACTTTAATCCGCTCACACATGACCAATACACTGAGACATATCTTGGATTGAAGAATGTTAGATAAAATGCTCTTTTCTTAGCAACCATGCCTTACCAAGCTACCACATGTTTGTTTGTAACGCCACCCTTTAATAATCGATCAAATTACAACCAAATGCAAATTCTATAATTTCCATAATGATCCTGAGCTGAACTTTTATTTGAATTTGATCATATAAAGTCAAGTTGATTTATCAAACCTTTTCAGGGAAGACGAGGAGATCAAATCAGCGGTTTGTTAAATTTGGGTACAGAAGATTCACATCCTCCTAAAATTTGGGGGAGTCCCAAGTCCATCTTCCAGGCTCTCTTTGCTTTCCTTCTTTGATTTGTGTAGCAAGGGCAAACTGGTAAGCTCCTTTTGAAGGGTTTGGAACTATAAGAGCTTCCATGGAAAACTGGGAGGGTATTTGTGATGACTTCAAAATCCAACATGTAGAGTTGTGTAGACAAAGATTGTTTTCAGGGTCATATATATGATTCTTTTGTACTTGACACAATTCTTTCAAATGGAAACCTCAATTGATCACAATTCTTGGTAAACCAAGACTATTTGTTCATTCATCAATCAATGGCTGATCTTCATGTTGCGTTCTTTTGATTCATTTTATCCACCTTGAACTTTCATGCATGTTAATCTGGTATGCAGGCCAATCAAGCTTGGATTAATTTCATGTCATTATTGTAGCAAGTAGGAAGTAGCAACGACTATTAAATTGTAGGGAGAAATTTTTCTGCATTATTTGACAGATTTAATTACTTATTACGATTTCCTTCCCTTCCCTTTCTTTTTTTATTTTATTTTATTTTATTTTATTTTATTTTTTATGCCAAGAACACCCTCAATGCAGGACTCTTAAGATCCATCCTTACAAACGAAACTAGGAGAAGTTAGCCGATCCACCTAAACCGTCGGACTTCCACTTGAATAGTAGGAGATTCGAACCCTGATCAGTAAGGAAAGGAGCAAACTTCCTTTCCTTCTTAAGCCTCTAAGAAACCCGTAAGTACATTTGTTTTTTCTTAAAAAATGTACAATACAATTTTCATTTTTGGTATGCAGGTCAACACAATCATTGCTGGGTGAATATAAGTTATTGGACACATCTATTAATAACTATTTGAGATAATTAGTAACATAAGGTATCAAAGCTCTCACAGTTTTGGGAGTTCTTAACTACAAATCTTCTCATCCGGTTATCTCTATCACTTCTCACCTTTTTTCTGCTTATATACGTGCAGTTTGTTTCACTGAATCCATCTTTCTCTCTACATATGAGACGTGATTAAAAAGAGTTATGGGGAGTTTAATGTTAAAATTTTCAATCATTTTTCTCATAATTTTGATATTGAAAATCTTATTAATTGTGGGATGGGCTTTTTTATTGACTTTTTTTCATAGATTTTAAAAGTTATAGATGTTTACTCAACTAGATACAGCAAAAAAAAAAAAAATCTATTCCAGACAAAAAAATAAAAAAACATAGCTTTTTAAACTTGTTTTTGTAATGAACTTTTTTTTGAATTTTTTTTTACTTTTTAGATTAGAAAACCAAAAAAAAATTTTAAAAAATTATTAAAGACAACAAAGTTTTTTAAAAAAGTAATTTTTTTTAGCTAGATGCCAAACAAAGACCAAGGCCTATTTTAGGAAGTTAATATTTTAGTCAAAAAATTACTACAAAAAAATCAACACTTCACTCTATTTTTTTTTGTAATGAACTTTTTTTTGAATTTTTTTTTACCTTTTAGATTAGAAAACCCAAAAAATTTTAAAAAAATTATTAAAGACAACAAAGTTTTTTAAAAAAGTAATTTTTTTTAGCTAGATGCCAAACAAAGACCAAGGCCTATTTTAGGAAGTTAATATTTTAGTCAAAAAATTACTACAAAAAAATCAACACTTCACTCTATTTTTTTACACATATTTTTTTATTATGTAAAAAATAAAATAAAAAATACTAAAAATTCCAATTCTCAAAATTTTATTTTAAGTTTTCATTCAAATTGTCATATTGAAATATGTTTTAAAACAAATAAAATTGTGTCAATGTGGCAATCATCTTTAATGGTAAAATTAATTTTATAAAAAATTATATTTTTTAAATTTTAGAAGAAAAACTAATAATTAAGAATATTGATAACTCATTAATTTTTTTTGAACTATATTGACAACTCATTAATTGATATGGGAAAAAAAACTCAACTTTATCACCAACATCACTAGAATTAAATTGGAATGCATTTTACATTTCCATATATGCCCTGTTATTATCACTAAATTCTTTATAACATAATTTTTTTTTCTGTAAATGAGTAGATATAAATAATATAAATAAAAAAAAATACTTTACTATTAATAATAAAAATTAGAATATTTGGATTGTGATAATTCTTACTCAAACTCTAATTGAATTTAATTTGAGTGGGTAAATTTTTCCCTTACGCCTATTTTGAAAAGTTGGCTTTTTAATTAAAAAGCTAAAAAGCATTGCAAAAAGGGGTATTTTTTTTAAGGTCCCTGATATTATGATTTTATAGTATAAAGGACATTAAATATTTTTATGATGTCTAAGGTTCCTCAACATCAATCCAGAGAAATTTCAATCCCAGAGAAAATTGGTCCAGAGAAATTACCCAGAGAAAATTTAGTTCAAAAACCAGAGAATTTCTCTGGTTTTAACCCAGAGAAAATTCAGTTAAAAAACCAGAGAATTTCTCTGGTTTCAACTTCAAATGAAACAAAATACTTAATTAATCCCAATTACTTAACTGAAACAAAATACTCATAACCTACCAGTTTTCAATATACAACAAATGGCATATTTATTCGATATATAAGACCATTCAATGCAGTTTACAAGTTAACAAAGAAAAATAATAATAAAAAAGAAATGACTGACAGATTCATATCAAATCTCCTAATCATTAGTTACCACTTCCATAATTACAAAGTAGCAAGTTTCTTTGCAGGATTATGTGCACATTGTACGATTGTCAAAAGGGCAAGCTCAAATTCCCTTGAAGTTTCGTTCGTTACTGCTTATAATTATCTCAATTTGTTAAAAATCATAACAAGAATTTCCGATAAAAAGAGACGGTGACGACATTAAGAACAAATTACCTTTTTCAGTGAGTTTCCATACATGTTTTGGTAAGAAGAATCTATAGCAGCCAAATGTGCCCTGCTTATTACAATATATGATTTCTATAAGCTAAGTACAAGAGTCATTATGTTTGTAGGCTTTGTATGGTTCTAAGGTGTATACAATGCTAGATATTCTGGTTCAAACCAGAGAAATTCACCATTACAGTGGGCCAGAGAAATTCTCTCGAAATTTCTCTGGACATCCCGCTCTCTAGAGAAATTTTTTCCAAATTTCTCTACACTTTCCATTCTTCAAATTTGATACAAACTGGTTAATTAAATAATCTTTTCCCACCAGATTTGACTTCATCCGCATGGCCACTCTCACCTTGATAAGGTCGCAAAGTTCTTCAAGATTGGGCTGTACCTCATTGAAAATAGGCACGGTACCGACTTCCCTCTATGTATCATGCACACACGCGCACACACAGTTTTGCATAGTTAGGAGATTACGAGAATGTCCACCAAGTCTCAACTCAGAGGAACTGCTTTGTCTATTAGGAACTTTATCACCCACATAATCATTGCAAATTTGAAAGGTGAGAAGCTACTAAACAGAGAAATTTGAATTTTCTCTGGGTTGAACTCAGAGAAATTCTGAATTTTCTCTGGAACTATAAAACTCTGATTTGATCAATTTATCTTTGGTTCTACTGCTGCTGATTCAATCACAATTTCCTGCACAAACAAATTAATAGTTCTTCAATCACAATTCAATCACAATTTCATGGACTCTAGAGAAAATTCAAATTTCTCTGTCGTGGGTTTGATCCTCCACCATTGTTGCTACTATTGTAAGTGGTTGTACTGATGTTTCAAATTTCCAGTTACTCTTACCATTTCACACCAATCAACAGAGAAATTCTGCTCTGAATTTATCTCCAGAGAAATTTTGAATTTCTCTGGAACTGATATTGATGAACAAAAGACAAGGAAAAAAAAGAGAAGAGAGAGGCTAGCTATGAAAAAAAGTAATTGTTTTGTTTCAGGTTCTGGTGATGGAGTATAATGACTATGTTGTTGCTTATGTGATCGTGACAAATCAGCAACCTCACTGCCAGACTCCAATGGTCTAAGATTGGGTTCTGGTGAAGGTGTTTCGAACGGAAACGACCTTGACATTGTCTGCCTTGACATCGGGCCACAGAGGCTGAGGAAGACGACGGAGGACAAGACGGTCCGTGGTGGAACCAAGCATGGTCGATCCGGTTGCGAGGCCGTAGAGACGCCCCGTTCCAAGCCCTAGCCTCCGGTGCCGGACTGTGACAACAGCGACTATTCCGATACAATCGATCACCTTCGACTTTCTCTCTACTCAAATCAAGCTTACTTACCGCCTCTATATGTATATATGTATATGTCTGTGTGTGTACGTGAGAGTAGACAAAATGAAAGGGGCTGAATTTCTCTGTGATAGATGGGAGGGACTTTAGACATCAAAAAATAATTTTGTGGATCTCTTCCATTATGAAAAGTGGGAGAGGGACCCTAGACCAATTTTCCCTTGCAAAAAAGGTTACTAAAAAATGTTAATTTTTAAAACAACCGTTAGTCTGGACCAAATTTAAAATCGTCCTATGGTCATAAAATTTTATTAACTTAAATTACTTAAGGTTATAAAATTTTGCAAATTTAAATTATTTAAGTTGGTCCCACCCATTGCACTCCACATGTTATAAGATAAAATAAATGGTGCTCAAAATTTTATGATCTAAAAATTCATACAATATTAATAATTATCCTTATCATATATCTTAAAATTTAAAATAAAAATAATTTTACAACCTAAAATTTATTATATATATCATTTTACTATATATAGCACAGGTTGAATGCTATTATAATAAATACCTATATCTTGGATTCATTTTCTAGCCACTTAACTTTTTGAGATAATTGATGATCAAGGTATGCGTATTGTTGCCTCGTCCCTAAACACATGGTATGGGTAGAGGTGCAATTCGGGCGAGTTCAACCTGAACAACTCGCGCCTAGTCTGAGTTTTTTTAGAGCTTGGATAACAATATCTTATAATCTGGACGGGCCTAGACAGATTTTTTACGCCTAAATTGTAATTCCGGCCGAACCTGGACAGGGTCAGTGGCTAATTCGAGCAACCCGAACCCGAATTGCATTTAATATATTATATAAATTATATAATATATGTATAAATGAAATAGCTGGCCTTTAATTTTTTTTATTTTTATTTTTTTTGGAATGGTCTTTGGCCCTTGGATTAGCATCTTTTATTTGGACCATTAGATTAAAACTAAAAACAAAACCCTACCTTATCTATTCTTTCTTCAATCTCTCTTGGACTCTCATTTCATTTCTTCATGAGAGTTGAAGAACGATAGACAACAATGACGACGCCACCTTTTCGATAAGCTTCGACGCTACACAAAACTAGTAGATACCTCTTTGTGTTTGTATTGGTGCTTCAATTTGTCTATTTTT